TATCTCACATAAAAATACTTATGTAACCATGTGTGTGATTTTTTTTCCCAATAAAGCCCGTCTAATTCCATGCTCCATACAACTGACCTAATCTAAAAAGACGCTGCACTGCAGCGTATGGGCAGCAGCCGTGGCCAGTAGGAAGAGCTCAGCTTTGAGTCTTAAGATCTAGTTTGTAGTCTGTGTATGTGAGTCGGCAGCCATGAACCCCAGCTGTCTCATCTATAAGGTCTACCTTCTTAAGGGGGTTGTGAAGGCTGTGTATGTGACTTGGTGTAACACTGCTTTGTACAGAAGATACGACCTAAACACAAGGTATTGAACTGTATTAAAATGTAGACAAAATGTGCATGTATTCCAACAGTAGAGGGAGAGGCAGTTTATGCTTTAAATCAAGGTTTATTAGAATTACCAAGCTCTGTTTCCAATCTATGTAGCAGCAATAGAAAATAGAGGTTTTATCTTAAATTATATGTGTAAGCACTCTCTCTCTTCTTCTGGAAGGGCCTGTTACACTGATAAAACAGCAAAAGCACATACAAGTAACCAAACTGACTGAAAATATGATGGATGCTTTGATGCTAGGACTAAAATTCCAGATGTTCATGTCACTGCATGTTAATATATGAAATTAATAGCAATGTTAAACTTAAGATTTTAAACTCAAGCACACAGATAGCAGTCAGCACTGAGACTGTGCACTAGAAATGATGGAAAGTTGTAATTGCAACTGTTAAATCAGTACTTATTAAAAATAGCACAGATTTGTAAAAGAAATCACGAGAAAATTCTTGATTATGCATTAATGACACTTTGCTTAGAACTGAACTATAATTTCTTAAAGGCAAACTTAATAGATTGTATAGAAAATTTTTTCTCTCCATTGGTTCCTATTTTAGATTTACCTTTCCAATAAGAGTATAGCAAAGAAAATCTGGCCTCTTGACTGTCTCCCTGTTATGTAATATAAACTGTGTTTGGGCCAACAAAGTCACACAACTGGAATAAATCAAAGCTCCTTTGCTTAGGCTGAAAGAAATAAAAGGATACCCTTGCATCACTTTTAAGAAAAAGGATGATTTTGAGACCATGATGCTAAAAGAAATAAATCATACACAGAAGGATAAGTATTCCATTCGTTTATGAGTAACTCAAAGTGTGAATAATTCAAAGAGGTAAGTAAAATGAAAGCTCGCAGCAAACAGGTGGACTTTGTAAATATAGAAAAGAGATGCAGAGAAAGGGGAGTGGAGGAGTTTAAATAGAAATACAGCGATCTGGGTGTGATATATACGTGTGCCAGTTCCCTGAGGTGAATGTAATTGTTATGTATCACAAACTTACACTCACAATTTAAAGGAAGTATTGAGGACAGAATACACTATTTATAGGATCCGAGCTCTTTACAATTTCTCTGTAAGATAGTAGTTTCTACAAAGTTTTTAATTTTTGTGGTACTAGAGGTTGAGATCAGAGCTCTGCCCAGAGCTACATCCCGAGCCCTTTTAATTTGGGGGGAGGTATGCAGAGTTCAGAGTAATTTCTACAGATGTGAATATAGAGGCTTAGTATGTTACTTGTTCAAGTTCACATAAAGTATTAGGAGCAAGGGTTTCCTCTAAGATGTCTGATTTTAAAGTCCATCTCCTTGTTCATATTGACCTCTACTCATGGTCCTTCTCCCAGGTGCATCCCCTTGTTTTTATTTTGAGGCAGCTGGTACCTTACAACAACCACAAGATGCATGGTGCATGCATTGTTGATATATATATATA